CGGTCCTTAAAAGTCATGTCCTCCAAGTCTGAGCAAAAAAAAAAAAAAAAAAAATCCAGCAAAGACCTGACTCAGGCCCTGAAAGATGCATCTGACTCTTCAGTTGATTGTCCACTGAAGTATCATCAAAAATGGTCTCAGTGGATGGGTGGCTGTCAAGAAGCTGTTCTTAAGGAAGATAAAAAGCTGAGATATGACAAAAGCAGACTGAAAACTAGTGCCAACAAAGCTTATGGAGTATAAATCATCATCACTGTGTGCTGTATGGAGGAGGTCAGGAATGAAGTACAGCAGTGAGCGTCTACAGCCATCTGTAAAACACAGTGAAGCTCTGCCATGGTGTGGGGCTGATCCCAAACACACTGACAGTGTAGTTAAAGCATACCTGGATAGAAATAGACACAACTGAACACTATCAGTCATGGTTTTGTCACCCCGGAGCCTCGACCTTAACACTGAAGCAGTGTGAGATCGTCATCTATCAGAGGCAGCCAAATGCAGAACAAGAGCTTTGAATGTCCTTCAAGAAGCCCGGGGAACTATTCCTGAAGACTACTTAAAGAATTCAGCCCCAAACAGGAAGCACTTTCATGCAATGAAACCGTGCACCACCTTTTATGTTAATAACCACACTAGCAGAGTCAGAGGATGGACACCAAATTCTATGAGACCTAAGCTTTTAGCATCAGCGGTAGCAAACATACCGACTCACTCTAAACCTATAATGATGACATAAAAGACACAGGCGGTGCGCCCTGTCATTATGTGGTGAACTTCAGTCGATGCAGTGGTTAGTGAACGCCCTCTTTTTATCGGTGCTCATATTTGTGGGCCAGACTGGGATTACTGAGTGATTACATTATGCAAATTTGAGATTCACTCGGATGAGAAGTCCAACACGTAGAGCTCGGCTAGAAGTTCCCGCCTGTATTCCTCGAACTACAATTGTAACACATCTTCATTTTTCATCCTGAACTCATTTTCTCTGCCTCTCACTCTGCTGGAATGTAAGTTTATTATGTTCAGATGGACATGTTTACAAGGAAGCTTTAATGGTTCCATTGCAGACGGTTTCATGTGTCCTTAATCATTAATGGAAAATTCACTGTAGAGCACAGCAGAATGCTTGTTTTGTTTTTTTCTGGAAGCCATCATTCTTATGTTGTGTTTCCCATTACAGAACCATTATCTGTCTCCACAGTACTGAGCATATTTTGAACTGAGTGCTTTAGCTGACATTTGAGACCAGAGTCCAAATGAGTTTTTAGAAACATTGTTAGGAAAGCAGACACGAGGCAAAGTTTGAAGATTCTCATGTTTACTGCTCTTGAAGTTTTCAAAGAAGGATTTCAAAGTCAGCACCAAATGATGACTTATCACAAATTTATACCAGAGACATTCCTTGTCCTTGTTTGGGTCTATTTTGGAAAAAACAATCCAAGAAGAAATATGTGACTTTCTGTTTAGATGCTGTGCCAAAGCCATTGTGTACACTGGATTAAATGCCCCATTTAAGAATCATCCCAGATCCGAGAAGCAAAATTTGAAAGAGGATGTGCTGTTCTGTGTGCAATATTTATGAGAAAGTTTAGCTTTTTTTGTTTGCTTTTCAAATATGTTTTGAAACCAGGCTTCTCAACCTTTTCCAGAACGCCGAATTAAGAAACAAGGTTTAAATCATACTTCTCTAACTGAGCAAACTGGGGATTCAAGCATGCCATCAAATGGATTGAAATTGCTATTTTGTGAAAACCAATCAGTCTTTTTAGAATAAAAAAAAGTCAATTTTTTTTGTCGGCTAATTAAAATGGAAAATAAGCAATCCTATTGCTGCCAGTTTTTTTTTTTTTTTTTTTTTTTTAAATTAGTCTCGTCTGGTTTTCCGGGGCGGGGTCCAATATAATTATTATTTCTCTTTTTTTGTGCAACTTCATCAACTGGAAACAAAATGTGATATTTTAAATGAGTTAGGACATTCACTAATGATCAACCTTGATATTTTATTCAAAGTTAAAAATCAAATAGCTTTCAAAAATAAAAGTTTCCCCCCCGCAACCTTGGACAGGCCATTAGGCAAGGCCAGGGGCCACTGTTTTAAAATAAAATTGGAATAGCAGATGAATGTTGAGACCTAAGAGTGTAGCGACATGACAAAATAGAACTGGTGGATGAGACTGAGAAATAAAACCGCAAAAGGAAGAAGGAAACCAAGACAGTATCCCCGCTCCTTTCTTTTTTAATAGCGGCAATCAGTCAGTGGAAGAGCCCTGGCTGCACACAGAGAGGCAGAAAGGAACCAGGGAACGTAAGACAGATTATAGGAAATAACAGCACGAGGCCATAAACACAGGAGTCATGTCGCACCACAATTTTGAAATGCCACCGTTTACTGCTGGCAGACGCTCAAACACACTTTTAACAGGAAGGGCGTCGAGTATGAGCGCTTGTGCAGGGGGGTCCCTGCTCAATTTGCACTCCAGACTTTTTGTGTTTCAGGTGTATAACGATCTTGCTGTATGGTAGAATACTACATATGCAACTAAAACTGTTAGTATTTGTATGAATGCACGGATCCCACATGTAGATGCATTTAAAATAGAGCGAGTTATTGCTAAGCAGCAGCTCATAATGGTCTAGTTAGCATAGAGAAAGCCTCTGGAGAGGACAATGCATTCCAATCCACCATCTATCAATGTGGATCTCTGATTTAATTGAATGGAAACAGCTCTTTAGTGTTATCCAGATGGTGCCATCTTATGTTATCCTGCAGATGGCAGCAAAGTCCTTTGACAAAAATACTGGTTTATTTAATACAATATTTGAAGTGTGATGTTTTTGTATCTTTCCACGAAACTGGTGCCAGCTGTGTGCTGACATGTTTGAACAGGTTTAATGTTTATAACTCATCTATCTGCTCATCTTTGTCCATCAATGTCATGTCAGTGTTTCTTCATCCAGCACTCCAGTCATGGTCGTGGCATTCAGCGGTGATGATTTGACAGGTTGATGGAGCAGATCCATCTCTTGTGCTTACAATACAAGAAATGAAACAGAGTTAAGACGGGATCCTGCTGCTGCCTCATTTTTATTAATCATTTCTCCTTTTCTGCTCTTTTACATCCTTAACATCTGAAAGCAGCTCTGCCTTCGTCCTGTCGGTTCAGCAGGCATGTGGCATGGCAGCCCTCTAACACCTTGCTGCTACTGCTCTGGCACGAGTTCAAATGTCACTAAATCTCCAGTTATAAAAGGTGGTCATAAACACCTAATGGCTGGCCATGAATTTTTTAGAGCCCTGAATATCACACAGAAATGACCTCTGGAAAAACTACAACCTTAACAAGACGCATCTGACAGACAGATAACCTCCACAGCCGGTGCAACTCGAGGCCCTCCCTCCCGTTTTTGTGGTTCTTTAGCTTTTTTCGTGGCGTGATTGGATTGATTTGTCATTTGCAACAGAAAGAGCTTGGCCACGGGGCTGTGGATAATCCAATTTATCGCTTTGCCATTTATTACAAATTTCTGTGGCTTTTGGGTCCACTGTCACATCGATTCGTTGATTGCTTGCTTAGCTGGGTCCTAATGAGCTGCTGTCTGAATCACTGCATAATCGCCACCCTAATTCACTTCCTTGCCTACCCTCACACTTGGTCTGCTGGCTCGCCACTATTAGTAAGGGATGGACTGAAGCAGCTCTTCCGGCGCACAATTAGTAGCATCATCCTTGAAGCGGGTTGTAAATCTGCGTACATTACCATTTAATAAATGACAATGCTTTAGTGGCTGTCACAGGTTGAGACGATGATGCAGCGGCATCTAATTTACAGGTGAATCCAACATGGCGTGAAGAGCGAAGTCTTAGGAGAGGCAGATTTTTGCCAATTTGAAACACTCCGATAGCTCACAGTTGTAAACTCATTGAAGTTTAGATCTATAGCTCAGTGTAAAAAAACTCAACAACCAACACATTTCTAGTTACAGGTGCACACAAAGGAATAAATACAAGGCTTAAAATATAAAGTATAAAATTAAAATATAAATACAGTTTATGTATTCTAAATATTTACAGTATCGTTATCTTGAAAAAGTCATTAGAGGTTGCTTTAATACACAAAAAATGCAGATGACTATACACTATGCATGCTACTACTTCTGAAATTCATCATATATATAAAATAAAATACACACTACACATGGCATACTGTCGAATTTGCAACTAATTCACTCCCATTACCTTTGAGATTCGTCATTCCTACTCCTCAGGGGGAAAAAAAAGATTAAAAAACAAAAACAAAATGAGAAAAAATGTTGAAAAATGAATCATATTAAGATTGTAATTAATTTGGGTGTAGCTACCCCCTCATTCCCCAACCTCTTTGTTCTTCCCTTTTTTGTCTCGCTAGAGTTATTGTTACAAATATTTTAGGGATACCGTGCAAATACCAAATAATCACACGCTGCAATTTGCAGGTTGTAATCTAAAGCAATATCTTTAAGGCAAACACAGTCAGGTCTGGGACCAACACACCCTTTGATTTCCAGAAGCATCACTTCGAGGTTAGCCGATACCCAAAGAGGACAGATTAGAGAGTAAATACCACCAGGTAAGGGTTTACCTCTGCACCAATATCAGCCTGTCTGCATGGCATTTATCAAGCTTGAAGAGGAGCTTAAGGACACACTGGGATGTGTTTGCAGAGAGGCTGGTGGATAAATATAGGAGGAAGCTAATCAAGCCATCTATCAACAAACGATGCGCACCATCTGTGAGTTTCATCACTCGTCCTATAGAACAGATTTTTTTTTCAGTGCAAGTTCCAGTCTGATGTATGATGCACAAAGTAAGTGCTGATGTACTTCAAGTATCATAGCTAAAGAACTCTCACCAGAAATGTGCATATTAACAGATGGGGAAATACTGTAGGCAGACAATAAGACAGGAGGAGAGATATCCATGCTGTAACCAATCTTACCAGCAAGAAACACATGCAAAATGATTTTCAGACAACATTTCTTTAATACAAAGTCAACATATCTACATACACAGTGGCTTTAAACCAATTATTGTTTCAGTTAGAAGTAACAGTTTGAAAGTGATAGCACTTGGCCCTCATACAAAAAAAGTATTTTTCTGAATTTGGGTTGTTTTTTTTATTTTTTCCAATTTGTCGTACTGTATACATTCTGTTATTTTGATTTTATTTATTAAGTTAGGGTTCATCTTTTTGTTATTTCCCCTCTTCCCCTGAAATATTCAACATACTCCTGCAAATTTGGCGGTTTGTTTTCAAAAGGCTAACATCTTCACATTAAGTCAAAAAAAACGTAACACATTGCACAAGCTTTGAAAGACTTCCATGGTTTCAGGTTTGGCCTGGGCCCTTTCTCGTCAGCCTCACTGAATTCCAGAGTCTTTCATCTTAGGCTTTGAGTTCATTATGAAACATCTCAAGGTTCCCACTGTTCAGAAATGACATGCTGGAAATGTGAATTTGCAGCACGTTTTTGGTTGTCTCGGTCTTTCCTTGGTTGCATCACTCTGCTATCTTTCACTGAGTCCTGATTTCTTTCTGCATCCCAAAATGAAGCATGGTCAAATAAAAAAACACAAAAACCAAAGAAAAAAAAACAGTATGGTTCTGTTCAAGGCTTAAAAAAATGCACCGGGGAGACAATAAATCAACGTGTCATGTTGGAACTAAACCATGTCTGGCCTTTAGCATAGCTGTATTTGCTCCTCAGCTAATGATATATTTATGGATTAACACCTTGGCATTTTAGGTAGTTGAACAGTTGCACATCTTCTGGGGGTTTTGTGGAAAGTGTTAAGGAATGAAGGATGCCTCCAGCGTTTTTACCGTAGCTGCGGCTTTAAGAATTTACACCTTTGTGATTAATCTTTTGTTTGATAATTATTTTAAGAGAATATTTCTTTTTCAAAAACACCCTTTAGTTGCTCCACTCTGCCTTACACCTAGAATAAGAATGTAACGGGTCCTTGAAATAATGATTGATTAACAATTCAAATAGTTGACAGAAAGGACTAACCTCCCAGGCTTGGTTAAATTATACCAGCAGATCACTGGTGCTGATTTCGTGCTCTCTTTGAGGCTATAGGTGTGAGAACAGAGGCTGGCATGTTTCCCATTTCAACTGCTAGCAGGGGAAATTAAAGTCAGAAGAAAAGTGAGTGGTAATTAAAGACCAGGGAGGAAGGACTGGAGAAGAGAGGTTTCAGAAAGCAGGCTCTACAACCACCAGGATGGGAGAAGGACTTTGATTTTTGTATTTCTGTCTCCACCTAAAGTATGAGATCTTGAAGGTCAAATGATACAAATACATATAATCTATATATTTGTTTATTTACAGGTATACTCTAGATCATAGTGGATATCTAACAAAATGAATGGCCACATTATGTCTGAAAAATTAAAAAAAGAAAAGAGAACTTGAAGAGGATTTTCTTAAACTGCGAGGGTCATAGCCTGACCATGATCATACAAGATACAGTTCGTCAAGTTGGTCCTATATAGGTAAGAAAAAATCGTCAGTTTTGAAATATTTGATTGATATTTTGTAGATCACTTCATCAACAGTTGCTCAAAAGAAAAAGAAAAAACAACAAAAAAATAAAAAATTGAAATAAAAAATGGCATCTCCTCATCGGCACAGGTTCTACCCTCAGGTAGAAGAGCAATGGTGAGTGGAGGCAGAGGATTCAGGCGTAGTGCTTCCCTCAGCTTCCATTAAGAAACACACAAGGTCTCTAAGATTATATATTTATATATATATATATGTATGTATATATTAAAAAAAACACACACACACAAAGAAAAACAAAATGAAATAAAATCATATTTTCAAGCATGAGAACTGACATGTTTAAAAAACAAAAAAAGATGATGAGGAGAAACATATAATTCATACTAAGGTTTGGATATATCTTCATATTCTGCATTTAAATATATATGAATGTGTGAGTGCGCAGTACACATGAATGCATACATATATGCGCACAAGCACACAGCCATGTTATACTTAACATTTCTACAGTGAAAAAATAGAATGTCTTTAAACATAATATGAACAGATAAGCTTTTCTCTTTTCCTGCTAATTTTAAAAAATGATACAACATCTGTTAGAAAACTAAACTGAAAAGAAAAAAAAAACCCAACCAAAAACATAATAAAAAGTCAACTATGTAGTGTAAAATAAGTCGTCATAATACAACATTAATGTTTTCGTAATGTTACAATAACAATAAGGCTTTTTTGGAAATAAGAAAAGATTACACACAGTTCTGTCCATCGCTCCGGCTTTTGTGCACACCCACCGGAAACCTGCGCGGGATCCGTAACGCTCGCGTATACCAAAGCGCTGTTCTCGAAATGAAAACCCGGTGATCTCAAAAGCTTGATTTTTCTTTTTAAATCACAACATACACTAGTGTGTCGACCTGCAGTTGTTCGGGGAGAGTAGGGAGGGGTTGGCAGGGGGGTAATACGTTTAAAGTTAATCTTTTTTTCGTTTGGGGATGTGCAAGTAACTTGTACTGTTTCAGGAACGCGTCGCAGCGTCGAGATCCATCATGGCTCCTTGGTCTGGCTGTGTCACCCACAGAGACGTCACCTTGAAAACGGAGGGCAAATACCAAAGCATCTGTTTTTTTTTTTGTTGTTTTTTTTTTGTTTAAATGTATCCACCTGTCACCAAAACACACAAACAGTGGAACTAAAGGCCAATTTTTCAACCACATTAATGTGCAGCTTGGTAACTGCAGCAGGCCTTTGCCACTTGAGCGTCTTATACAATGATATAGATGATTATAGAGGAGGCTGGGCAAGAGGGAGGGGAAAAGGAGGCGTGGACGATGACGTCAAGTGGATGCGCTTTCAGTCATGCCAGTTATCAGAGATGGCATCTTTGATTCATCAGTTTCCTCTCCTTCCAAAGTCACACGTACAGCGTACACGAGATAAGCAGCATGTTTGGTTTTGACAGAAAATCATAATAATAAAAAAAAAAACTGAAAAACGAGATAATTCCTCATTAGACAAAGTTCTGGAGGATGACGATGAGCGTTGGTCACTGTACACAAAGAGAGCCCTCACTTTTGCGGCAATCCTTGTTTGGTTGTTCCATTTTTGTTCCAAAGCCTTCCCCCCCCCCACCAGGTTTATCTCTTGTTCAAAACCGTGGATGTTGAAACCGCAGCCCCACAATGTAGTGGTTCCAAAGACAGGAGCGACTGTTTAAAAAACAGAAGAAAGAAAGAAAAATCACGGGACACGGCTGCCGCTTGTCTCACCTTGGCTGCACGCAAGACGACGCGGCGGAAGCTTCGTGCAGCAGGCGAGACTTTTATCCGGTGACTGATCTTTGCACTGTTAATATACTGGCGCGTTGCAACATTCCTGCGATTACTTGGCTGAGGATACTGATTTCACACGAATTCACAACTGATGCAATTAGCACGTTTTAAGAAACGTGTCGCTGTTTTCATCCTCACAACTGCAAGAAAACCAAAAAGTGTCTTCTTTTAGCTCTTAGTGCTCGAGAAGAAGTCGCTTTAATAGTCGAGTGTTATCCCACACAAAATACTGTAAAAACTTTAGGTTTTCTTGAAGGATTTGGTGCCAAATGTGAGTGAACTTGTCCTTTTCTGTTTCTTTTGTTTCATTTTTTTTGTACAGCTTGATAAATCTTTTATGCAGGCAACCAGTTTCTTCATTTCGCACAATATTACTCACACACTGTGTTGATGGAAATACTTGAACCCCTTTTACACCCGAGCATATCAAAAAACAAGATAGTCACCAAGTCTTGGCTACATCCATCTGCTTCTCAGTGTTTTTTACATTTTTATTTGTATTTTTTTTTTTGCCTTCCTTTTCCTTCGTCATCTGTCGCTTGTTACTGTTGCGTCACGAAGATATTTTTTGAGAAGAGAAACGTCCACGAATGTTAACAATGTCCTCCACATTGAAACACTTGAGGTAAGGTAAGCAGTCTGACACTTTGATCAAAACCCGCCCCACATCTTGAGCCACAGCATCTGGTTCCTCCCCTGCCGAGGATCTTCTTTTCTTGAGATGATGGACAATTTTCTTGAGTTTCCTTGTGGCATATGTGAAAAGTCAAATTGGACTCTGAACTGGTTGGACCGGGTGTTGTCTTAAAAAAAAAAAAAATCTAGGAGATCCTGGTTGATGCGGCTGAATTGGCGGTGGCGATGTGGTTGTTTGCTGTCGTTTTAAATTTTAGTTCCTATGGCTCAAGAGGCTGTTGAGGTGGGGGTGGGGGGGCAACAGGATTCAGAGGAGGGGGAGGGGGGGGGAGATGGCTTTTTACGTTGCATAGTGATCAAAGCTTCCTAAGTACTCCAGAGCTGCGTGATAGCAGAATTGATACTCATCCTGTGGAGGGAAAAAAAAACAGACAGACGCATAACAAATTGCATTAGAACACCTCACCAGGAGTTTAATGACACAATTTTCAGACAATTTCAACTTGCAGTAAATTTCGCAATTTGCTGAGGCAGAGCATGTCCTGACAAGATCATTCTATAGATCCTATACCTAAGTAGAAAGCCTAGATTGGCATGAGCAAAAAT